CTTGAATCTCAATAAATATTTATTTTTATTTTAGCCGTACATCATTTGCACATCGTCCGTTTTACCTGTACCTACCAAATTATCACACATCAAATGAGCATTAACACGCTGAATAATAGAATTGTATAAAAAATAATTTCCAATAGAAAATTTAAAGATTTTCATAAGTCATATGTAATAAATAGATTCAAATAATTAAAAATAAATTGAATTGTAGTCATAATTATATAAATAATGCACATATTGAAATGAACACTTTTGTTGGCACATTACAGTCATAGTTAAAATACAAATATACATTTTTGATCTCACAAGTTTTCAGTATTTTTTTTTCCATATAAAAATACTTTAGGAAAATTATTCAAGATTTTCCACGATATAAATTAACAAATTTGAATTAATTCATTCTTATATATACTCAAAAGTTAAAATTACAGTATAATAATATAATGTTCACGTCTGGTATGTCTCGTAAGTATCTACGTCTCGACAGTGGCTCACTCGTTTTATTATCCAGTAATCTGCTACCTTGTTTGATAAACTTATTCGATAAAAATCGATTAGTCAGCCGTACATCTTGGTATTGTGTTATTATTAACTGATTGTCTACACAATATTATCACCGTATTATTTATCATTTATTACCTATTTATTTATTTTAAAATAGAAATATCTGTACAATATTTGAAAACTGGATGTTATGAAAGTAAATTTGGATACTTATGTAAGAATTTTAAAATCAAAATTAGAAAACAACTAGCGCTTTTGGGTATCTTTACAACTTTTTTTAATTTATTGTTAAATAATATTGATACGCAAATGATGTAAGACCTTTTAAACGGCTGATGCGCAAATTATGTATAACCCAAAAATCGAACGATGCGCAACTATCTTACGAAAAAGGTCAAAATTAACAATAGTGATATGCTAACGACAACTGGCGTTTATTTTTTGGGGGCCATTCGTCTTATTGACTCATTTGGTTAATGGGCTCAACGCTCAAATGGTTAGGTCCCAAAGTGAGTCCAAATAGTCCAATAAGTGACGACCATTGTATACATAAAATGCCAGTAAAGAAGGTAAGTTTGAGTAATTTTTTAAGTATGTCTAATAATAGTATTAACATAAAATTAAAAAATACTATGGTCTATGATGTATGATGAAAAGTTTAATTTTTCAAAATTCACAAAGTACAAGCTAGAATGTCTTGATTAAGCCGAAACCTATTATCATAATTTGATGTCTGGGACATTTTTCTGATAGAAAAAGTATATTTAGATATAAAAATAAAAATAAAATAAAAACAATCATTATAAAATCAATAAATATCAATACATCTATCGCTACACTTAGAGTCTAAAAATGTTCTATATTTTAATAATAATTTATATTTTATATTGAACTTCTTTTTTTAAATTTTGAAAGAATAAGTGATTAAAGGAGATTAAACAGTAGGTACCGAGTACCGACCGAATATTTAATTTGTTATTTTATTTGTAAACAATTTTCGTCATCAATTTCAATTTTCATGAAACTCCTTAAGTTTGAACACATATTGTATATTAATGACATGTTTTAAAAATGATAAATTATTTTAAATAATTGTGTTTATTTATTATACCCAATATACTCATAAATTATCCTTATTACATTTTCCCTTATTATATTTATACTACAGGTATAGGTAGGTAACTGATAATGATATTGGTATATTTACAATAGAATGGAACATAAAAATAATTACAATATTATGTTTATTATCTTATTTGTCAATCATAATAAATTATTGATATATTTTTTATTCAGTTTTATATTTACATTCTAATTGATATTAAATATCTTAGCCCCTCCACCCGGGCCCATTAGCTCAGTTGGTTAGAGCGTCGTGCTAATAACGCGAAGGTCGTGGGTTCGATCCCCCCATGGGCCAATATTTTTTTTAAATTTAAATTAAAAATATGGTTGGTAATTTTTTATTTCGATGCAAATTATAAAATGTATGTTATATATTTAACACTTTCGAACTATCCGAGTGCTTCAAACAATTGAAGTAGTCTTATTTAAGCCTTTGTAAATTGTAAATAAATGATTCTGAACGTATAACTGTTAATATTTTAGAACTTAGTTTTAAGTTATCTCTAACCACCAGCCAACAGTAAATATATAAATATAAGCTGCAACTTAATTCGTTGGGCTTTATTATGGGGTTGGATGATGAACTAATCAACTAAATTTAAGTGTGTCTGTTAAGATATTATAATGTGTCCTTGTCCATCCCATTCTTGAGTGTGGATGTATTGTTTGGATCTTCAACTGCTATTGACGTTGGGCAAGCTGAACGAGTCCAGAATAAGTTTATACGTTTTGTTAGTTACGTTTAAAAATTATCTGGCCATTTTATGACCATACATTAGTAGCAAATCGACTTGACCTTTCCTCACTGATTGAGCGAAGACGAATTGTTGGTATTACATTTACTGGAAGTCTGTCAAACCGCAAAGTTGAATCCATTGATATTGTTTCTCTAATATGTTTTAAGGTACCAACCCAATGCTTCACTCGATCTATTGCTTATTTTTATATCCCTCACACGCCACCATAAACTTTATTTAGCTTACCATTTTCTGAGAAGGTTAATGTCGAACGTGAATATGGATCCTCATTTTTTATTATTATTTTTTTATCTTCCATTTAATTATTGTGTATACTTAATTATGTTTATAATTGGTTATACACAATAATTTTTTACATTATGTAAAAAAGAGCCTCATCCGTTTAAAAAATAAATAATTCAGATACGTCTTGTTATTATTTTTGTTACTTTACAAGTTTTGAAAACGTAATAGAATGCTATACCCATAATTGAAAAAAAATAATAATAAAGCTAGTCTTTGTACCATGGGCGAGCAATTTATTATTGTAGATGGAGTGAATCTGACGTAATATTGTATTCAGATTAAAAATATGTACATGACTCGAGTAGCACTATACAAAAAACAGGTTTTATATAATTTATATATTAAAACTGTTCATTTTGGACGAGTGCCACTATGAAAAAATAATATTTAACTTAAAAAAAAAAATAAAAATATGTACATAACATTATTTATACTCGAGTGTGAACTGTGAAGTATATAAAATGTAAATTCTGAAAATTAAATAAGCTTAGTAGACCATTAGTACTTAATATTATTGCATAGCTTAAACTTAAAATGATGCACACTATAAAAAAAATTTGATGGCCCATGGGGGGATCGAACCCACGACCTTCGCGTTATTAGCACGACGCTCTAACCAACTGAGCTAATGGGCCGAACGACAATCTTCGGTGATTTTTGACGCGTTGACAAAAACGAATATCGAATACCCACTTCCATCATTATGTACTTATTTTATAAAAATGTATTTTTAAATAGGTATTTTAAATTTTTATAATAATTCAAAAACACATTGCAGGCTTACACAGTTACACACACACTAGTATAATATTACAAAAATGTAAAACAAGGCAAAATCCTGAATCCGTGCGTATTACCTATGTTGATAGTTTATATCGTAAACCGTTTTATTTGACTTAGGTACTACTAATGCAGCAGTTGGGTAAATAATAGTAAACTATAAATACGTGTATAAAAAGTATCGAATCGATTAAACAAAAATGTACTTTAACAGACTAATGGAAATTTATAGGATTATACAGAAACCACTCTCCGTCGTCGTCATTAGGGTATGGCGTGTAGATACCTACCTACCAGTTTATACCACACGGAATAGCGGTCGTGTGTGCAGACGAATTCATTCAAAATATTATTATTAAACCGTACATACAGGTATATTATGTAGATATTAAAAATTGGATATACCCGATATCGGTTTAATAGGCATAAGAGGTACTCGTACAAAATCTAAACCATATATAAACTGAATATACATTTTTTTATTCAATAAAATAAGGAGAGCACTGCGCCACTGCCTTTGTAATTTATAAATGAATAATATCTCGTATAGGTATATGAATATGATAATATAATATTAAAGCGAACGGAATCGTATTTTTTATTTTTTTTATTACACAACCACCGAGAATCTCGATAATAGGATTTTAAATCATGGCTTTAAAGTGTCGTTTAATAATTGGGTATGAAATATAAACCGAGAGGTCAAACCAGGCCTTGGGTTTTTGTTTTTATTTTTTGTATAATGATTCTTTTTACGGGTTCAGTTGCATTTGTTATCATACTTATTTATATTATATGATAATATTTTTTTAATTTTATAGCCACACCGTCCAATTTCACATACCCCCTGTTTTTGATAATAATATAATAAATTATAAATATTATTATGGTATACCTAAGTATTTAATATATTGTACATAAGATAGTTGTTAATTATTTGAATGGAGTGAATGGACAGATGCACAAAAATAACAATAATATGTACATACAAGAAATATATTAAGAAATTAATTATTAAATACTTAACTCGTTTAGTTTTGAAAATATAATATATACAGAATGATAATTTTTTAAGCACTAACTTAACACTTAATTTTTCTGCCGATTACGTTTGATTGAATCGAGACTTGTTTGACAACTAGGGATACGTTCTATAAATACACATTTATGGGAACATTTCAAATTATTAACTCTTCCAGAATGTACATGAAATATCTCTACAATGTAACTATTTTTGAAACAATTTATTTAAGTAAGCTTTTTTTTTAAAGTTATTTCCATTTCATAACTATGGTTCTAAAATAAAAATTGAGTTAGAGCTTTATCAGATTTGACCAAAAATTCTTTTTTTGATTCATTAAAATATTGATAATCGAATAATTCATAACACATCTAGTTTCAATTATTTATAATCGTAATATTCCAATAAAATATTTAAAACTATTTAAGTAAAATACTATTGAGTATATTTTATCTAAAAAAAAAATTTAAAAAACAAATTATTATGAATGAATTTAATAATTTTAATACATCGAAAAAAATTATTTATATTATTATTATCATTATTTGCTATCTAAACTTGTCACCTGGACTTGCTCAAATAGAGTTTCAAAAATAAACTGGTGTTGGAATTTATAGAAATAGGAGTCTTGGAAAAAACTACACATGGTAAAGAATAATTAAGTTTGAAACGTTCCTAAAACTAATGTGCATTTAGGTACACACCATTGCTTTGAAAGTGTATCGATTCAGGTAAAATTAACGTTATCCAGGTCAGAAATTTAGTGTTAACTCAAACAGTCACACTGAATATCATTATTATAAAAGTATAAACAACGTACTAAATAGGTAAATAAATTTATGTATTGCATCCATTTTGAATATTGATAGGTTTCGTGAAATGGGTAGACATTTCGAATCAACTAAGTTGTTTACACATGACGTACATAATGAAAAACATTTTTAAAAGTAGAAACAATTTAATTAAACAAAATGTATGAACAATATGATAATAGTTATTATACATTTTAGTAAAATGTTGAGCGAATTTACAAAAATATCTATTCATACAAAAAAATGAATACCTGCAGCGGTACGCTCGTTTCGCCATTATGTGGATGTATAGACTATGGAATAAGTTCCGTGCTACTGAATTTCCATGTCTGGTTTGTGAAAATGTATTCATATTGTACATAATTCCGTGACGTGTAAAAAAAACGTATGTCAGTTTTGTAAACTTCGAGATGAAATGTCTATCCATTTCACAAGATCGATCAAAACGCGAAATGGGGACACGACCTAACACGCTGCACACGACCGTGGACGTAAAACAACGTTAGTAATAAGCAACCTACGTACTAAGTTTTATAGAGTAAGTTTGTCAAAGCGTTTGCTCCCGCCAAGTATACTGCGATACACGCGTTTGTGTATAGACTTGGCAGTCGTCACCACGCTTCGCTCAGTAAAAGTCATCGCCACCCGCAGACTCGTGTTCACCGTACTTCTTGTTGTCGGAAAGGGTATCGTACTCAGCTTTATGGTCGTGGTGCGACTTGTGGCCGGACTCTCCGCTGTGGCCCTTGTGATTATCGTAGTAGTTGCCCTTGTTGAATTGGCCGGCCGAGCCCTTGTGCGCCTCGTCGTAACCGGATTCGTGGCTGGTGCCGTGCTTGCTGCCGCCCGCTTTCTGCGTAAAGTCCTTGTGCTTACCACCGTACTTGTCGTATTTGCCGTGCTTGTGCGCGTTGTCGTAGAACTTTTGTTCTTTGTTATATTCATCTTTGTGGTACACGTTGTGGAAACCGGTCGTCTTGTGTCCCTTCTTGTGGTTCTCGGTCTCACCAAACTTTTGACCCTTCACCCCGTGTGTGCCGCTTTTGTGATGACCATAATGGTCTGCATCGGTCTTGTGACCGGTGCTGTGGCCTTTCGCTTTCTTATAGTGGCTCTTTAGGTCATCTTTGCCGTACTTGCCGGCGTGACTCTTGTCAAAGTCATGATGGTTCTTGTAGCCGCTGTCGCCCAGAGTGCCCTGCGAGAAGTAATGACCGGCCTTTTTATACGAACCACCTGCTTTTGAGTATTTTCCCGGTGACTTGTACTCCTTATGTGTATAAGGTGACCCGAAATAATTCTAAAAAATACCATAAAATCATCACACGTGAAAAATCATAACAGACTTTTTTATAGGTAACTTAGTGTACATTATTATTATTATAACTAATTAGATAATAATAAAGAATCCGCCTGGGGGGTTTAGCGATCGAGTAAAATATTGAAATTAAAGTTGGTTTGAAATTAATTAAAACGAATCATACATTCATATGCAAATAATAGTCTGTAGATATATTATTTTCATCATCATTATCAAATCGCATAGTTACAAAACTTCCTGTTTGTTATTCAATGGATTTCAATAAAACCACTTAGTTTTTCCTTATCATACTCGTCGTTTTATTTATTTCATTATAATACATATAAAAAGATGAAAAAAACTTCCAGTGCCCGGAACCAATATTAGGTAGGTACCTATTATATACGATGAATGGTTTACGTGCATAAATCACAACTGTTTACATAGACTTTTTGTTAGGTAAACTTTTGACCTCCGAACTTTTGGAAAAACAAATTCATATAGAGCGGAGGAGAAGCAAATGGGATAAAAATGCAAAAGCGTTAAAATGAGTATGAGATGAAGAAAAAATAGAAGTCATAAATCATAACAATGCTTAAAATGTTTGTTCGGGCCAACATGTGAGAGGGTTTCGAATTTCATTTAAATGTAATCACTTTGAAATCTTTCATTCGTTCATCGTTTTGTATTCATCCGAAAGGCATAATGTTATTAAATACGATTTATTTTATCTTATTCACTATTCAGATCTATATGTTTTAATGGCCAATTTAATTAAATACTTTTAAATATTATAATATATTTACTAAACAAATATGAGCACTGAACATATACATTGATTACAATATTATAAGTTAATTAAAAAAAAAAAGGTACGCAAGTACATAGGTATTCCTCTATTGTACATTAAATGTCGAATGGATAATGGATCACTATTATGAGTGTATTAAATTTGAATTCAATAGTATATAATTGTATGCGAAAAACGATTTTGATCTTAGATAGTCTGTTAACAACATTATTATTTAATACCGTAAAAGAGTAAAAATAGATTCATAATTTAAGAAGATAATAAATACTAAAGATACTAAAAATGTCTTAGCGTATAGTAAAATTCATAATAATGTACAAAAAAGTTTTAAATTCCCACGAATAATTTTTTTAAATTAAAACGAAATAATCAATATTTAGAATCTAAACGTGCAAAAACACCTGCCAATTAAATAAATAGTATAAAAATTAAATAATATTATATTTATTGAATTTAAATAATTATTGTACCTAATTAAAAAATAATAAAAAGTTAAACAGATATGATAGATTTGTATTAAAATCGCAAAATGTTCAGTTATGTGAGGAAGGTTAGATTTTCAATTGTTATATTTAATCTATTTTTTCAAAATAAAATATGTATGATATATTGATGTTAATAAACAATAAATATTTGTACCACTCGACGAACGGAATTCAAAACGATATAATAATATATCGATTAACAATAATTGGTTGCTGTTTACAATATTATCATACAATACACTAAATCTGTAAACGGGTAACGTTGATATACGATTATTAATGATGCACTGACCTGATCGTCGAATCCGAGCCCGTCGCCTTTTAGGCCGTCGTCGGACACGTCTCGATGGTACTTAAACGGGGACAGCTCAAAGTCAAATGTGTCGCCGTTATTGTCGTTGTCGAAATTATAACCGTCGACGTTCGAGATAGGCGACGGCGAATAGTCTGCGTCGTCCAACCCGTATCTTCCGTCGTCAAAGTCGTTCGGGATCGGGTCTCCGAATTGTGAATTTTTTTGGTAACCGCTTTCAGTACTACGACCATTGTTGTAGTTGACTGCTTCCTCCTCACCGACGACTGGTATGTTGTATGGCGACGCGCGTTTACTGCTGACCACAGGCATTCCGTGAAAGCCATTTTCCTTTTTAAAATCTATGTCATCGACAATGAAAATCATCAAATTATTATGTTGTTGGTGATTTATTAATATACAAATAATAACTAGAATAATATTATGTTTTGTAAGCCAATGGATTCTTTCAACAATTCTTTATATTTTTTTTAAATCGTGTGAACTTTGCAGCGTAAAATTAGCGGTCAACCATTTAAAAATAATCGTACAAATTTGTTTGTAAGTTGTTCAGTTGTGGATTGGGTCGGGGCCAACGAGACCCTTGTTAGAGATTGTTGGTCGACTTTCAAAGTTTGTTAAGATTTACTTTGACATTAGAAATTTTTTATTTTTGTGCTGTTATTTTCACGGTAGCAAGATAAAAAAAAATTATTTTTATTTGGTGTAAACTGGCTTAAACCATTGTTCAAACGATTCGCAATAATTTATTTATGATACTAGAACATTTTGAATTTTGAATTTAATGTTTTCACGTGTCTCTATAGCATCATGAACAAGAAAGGTTTTTAAGAAAAGATAATTTGGAATTTAATATAATAAGAATAGTTACATAATAAACTAAAACAATAATATGAGATAACAATGTATAAACGATAATACCTATAAGTAGATATTTTGGGTAGTATTATAATTCCATAGCATTAGATTTAATTGAAAAGGTTGACAATTAATATTTTCTTGAAAATGTGTATAGGTATAAACTATGAGGTTATATTCCGGATACGAATAATCTACGCATAATCTTTTAGTTATATTGTGATCAGTTTTATTCGGATGATAATTTAACGCTTTAACAAAAATTACTATTACGAATTTCCAATAGACAGCTCCTAATAAGACAAGATTGATTGGTGTAAAGCGAAACAAAATAATTTACGAAAATCGAACATTTGTGACACGGGCCATACTGCGAATTTATCTTTTTATGCTTATTGCAATATAGAATCTATATAAATATCAATTGCATGATTTGTAATGCCAATTCTCTCTGCAATAGGTATATCTAGTATGCCTATTATGAATATATTCAAAAATAAATTTGTTCTCTAAAAACTAACACAAATCACATAAATGTGTGCCTTATTATAGTATCGAAGACTTCATATATGTGTATTGTATAATTTTTGTTACATCATTAGTACACTACAATATATATTTATATAATAATAAGTCAGAATTAGAAAAAACGTAATTGGACATTTCGAATTACATGATCCTATTTAGCTGAAATTTAAATATTGCTCGGTAACTACAGTGATTTATTGAATTTACAATGACAAGCTATGAAAATAGGTTTTTATTAGAAACCCATGAAGTTTAACAAACAATAAATTGTCTTCGTAAAACTGAAAAAAGCATTGTTGTTACATAAGCTAGACCTACGACACTACAGTGCAAGTTGCGTGTGACCTTTGTCGTAGATTTCATCACGACTGATCGGATCGCGTAGGTAATTAATTAAAATGTGATTGAAAAAAACATATCAATGCAAATAAAAAAAAAAAACCACCAACACAAAAGCATCCCTTGTGTGCGGTTGTCTCGACAACAATAATAATCGATTCGGATCACCTGTACCACGGCGAAATTCGCGAGCCGACAAATCGTCATTTATTTCATCAAGGGCACGATGATTGTTGATCCGCGAACTGCGAAGTATTCAAGTTCAACCGACGAAACAGTAACAACAATAATGATGACTATTGATTTTCAGTATATTATTAAAAATAATACACATTAATGAAAACTGACATGCCCCCCCCCCCCTTATCCAAATGAACGACAATGCAGCACGCGAACAAAATTAAACAAAAAATAATTTATATAACATTTATACTATACAAAGGTACATCACTTATAAACAAGTGTTTTTCTTTTTTTTATACACAATATACATGTATACATGTTCAACTCTATTAGACGTGGCGTAAACGTTTACAGTCGGTCAAGTAATAAAACATGGCATCGCGTGGAATATAACAACGTGTAAAATCGTGACCCGTTGAAAACCTTATTGGTGGACACAATTTTTTGAAAAACAACACGCGAATTGGCGGTTAATTATTATTACCATCGCTTGGCTAAAATATTAACAGAGGCCACAATTGTTCGCAGTCGTTTCGTCAACCTTTTATTTTTCTCTTACGACTCGTTAAAGAACTGGACTACTCATTTCCGTTGGTGGCTATCACCAATAGTATCGATTGAATCGACTTTGTTGTCGACGAGATTGGATAGTCCCATTTTACAAGGGACTACATGCATACACCATAAATGTCACATAAGAAAGTTTTCAGAGCATAAGGGTGAATAAAAACGGTCTTACTTCATCCATCTTTTACAAGATAATAAAGATATGTATCTTCCATATTCATAATACGAGACCTATATGTGTAAAATAATTATGAAGGAAAGTTAATACATTTATCAAACATGAAGTTAATTATGAATAAAAATATAAGGATTAATGGATTACATACAATAAACAATTAAAATGTTATTATTCGTGTGAAAATTAAATTTTTGAATGTAAAAATAGATTTTGTTAAATACAGGCGTTTGTGTACTTATTGTACTCACCATGTTTTTGTTTGGGAGGATTATTTGCAGAATTAAAAATCGATTAAAATGCTGACCTCACTGAGTCACAAATTGTATTATATTTATAAATCAATTCATTTTTAGATCATTTTCGTATACTTTACTACTTAAAAAATTTGTTTTCAGGAAAAATAAAAATAACAAGAGCACTTAATATTTGACATTTGTAGAATCAAAAATAAATAGGTACAAAACAGATAAAAAAATAAGTTATTTATAACAAACATGATATTTATGCAGAATATTACTAATGATACCATTGTGTTTCATATTCTTTTTTTATGATAAGTTGTATCTCCAAAATTGATATATTATGTAGATTAGAAGAATCAAGTATGGCGGTACACACAAAAAAAAAAAAAATGATATTTAAGTATTTATTTACGCATATTGCATTTAAAATAATTAATCAATAATCGTTAAAAATCAAATTATTATTATTATTTACTTTATGTCACAAATACTTGATATAAAATACATTTTTTTTTTTTTTAATCGTCGTAATTGTTCAATTGACATTATATGGAAAATCTTATTGTTATTGCTTATTACATATCAAATGTATAATAAAAGTTTGCAACGAAGTTATTTATCTTTACTAACATTTAAAAATTAAATAACAAAATAACTGTTTTATTTAATTATTTATTCATAATAATAATATTGAATCAGTAGGTAACTCGAGTTTGAAATATCAAGCCGCAAATAACTTCCGCAACAAATTAACTTAAACAAAACTTTTGATGGGGACATATTTAGTTTATTTCCATCCATATTATTGGACTATAACCAACGAACTTAGGTACCCTTATAATTTATATACTTTATACAATTATATAATATCCAAAAGCTATGGACAATTGGTTAAAAAAAAAATATATAATCCTTGCCGTGACCATAATTTATTATATAATCAATATCATGATAAATATTACGTTTTTATATTTTTAATAATAAAAAATTGCTACCTAATCTCTAAGTTCGAATACGATAATGTATGTCGTTTTTGTGTACTATTATTTTATTCAAACAAACAAATATGATTAACTTTATGGCGTTTGGGAAATCGCACCAATTTATGTTATTTTAAAACTACCAAGTAATAAATCAAAGAAGTTTGCCAGTAAAATAATCATTTTCATACCAATCAGTTTTAATCGATGGAATTAATGGTAATTTATCTAAAATTTAAAGTAGTCTCAGATGTGACTATTGACATTATTATTGATGGTCGTTTTTGTAATAATTTTAATATTTCATAGATATCACAGTCAATGGATAAAATATGAGTCAATTAATCGAGATAACATTTAACGTAACAAATTTAATTTTTCGAACCAATATGGAAAATAAATAAAACTAAAAAATACAATATGTTTAATTTACATTTTTATTACTGTTTATATTAAAATATTTATTTATTTTTTGGAAATAATACTTTAAGTTGTGTACCTAATAAATTATATGCATTATTCACGAGGCATATTTCTTGAAGAATGTATTTTTGTCATAGTTTGAATAAATAATTTTAAATCTTACATTTTTCAATCTTGACATAATTTTTCGTACATATTTAAGACATTGTTGAATGATTATTATCATCATCAAAAGACAAACTACTATAAAATTTCATTATTTTTGGTAGATATTAAAAATTATGTAATCATGATACTTCAAATAATGATAAATTATTTTTAATTTTTAATTAAAACTATTTCAACATTAATATACTACAAAAATTAAACTTTTTATTTGTTAAAGTTTATCTGTATATAGCAGTTTTAAAATTACAAAGACTTTCAGGTATTTACATGGATAAATGTTCGAATACGCACAATTTTATAATTATCTTTAAAAAAAACTAAATTTAATTTCATTTGTGTGTATAAAATTTACTCTTTACATTTAATATTTCAAATTCAGAGTGAAATTTTTTTTTTATTTAGTATAAAAATAATGAATTAATAAAAAATATTGTTTTTTTTTTTTGATTTTTGGCATTAAATAACATATTTTATTGTTTAATTTGTATTAATGTTTAGCATTATAATATTATGTTTATAATTAAAGTATTTAAATGTTGAAAAGTATTAAAAAATAAGCTAAAATATTTATTTTGTTGAGGTCATTTAATTAATTAATTATGTACACACAATTATGTGATTATAAAATGGATTGGTAAACTACAACTACATGTTGAAGTTACATTTTTCTTTCTTCTCATTTACATATATTTACTTGAGATTTGGGTAATGTTTGTAAAATAGCAATATAACTATTAATGATTAGGTTTCCCGAAGTTTTGCACATTATGGTCTGTGATTTGAATTTTTACTTGAACGGCTTACAATATAAAGTTTTAAAATTATTTCTGATTCAACTAAAACTTGTGCAAAAATATCCTCGTATAATTGATGATAAACGTGTGGTGTTCAGTAGGTCTATTTGATACAATTTTCGGTATACGCAGAATGGCTTACATAATATATAGTGGGTGGTAAAAAGGAAAATGGTTATTGAAAGTTTTGGGTTTTGATTTTGAATATATTACATGGAAAGTGTCTATAAAACTTCAAATTTATATACGGAATCTGGAATATGGAATACATGCATTTTACGTTTACCCAATTTTTTTTTCTTATCTATATAATAATTGATGAATTTGTCATCATTATTTATATTTTCTAAAATACACCCGTCATTTATAACGTTAAATCAGTAATATTAAGTTTCATCTCTTAAAATAATTATTGTATTGTTTGATTATAAATATAATATATAATATTACCTAATAGTAACTCCAAAATTTTACAGAAAATTTGTTAAAGAAAATCAGAGATGTATTAAATGAAAGAATTTTTTTGTTATTGCTTTTAAGAAATACTCAACCTAACCTAACCATAAGACCATAAGATATTAGTTGTAATATATTCTAATATTTTAATTCATATAATAGCCTCAAATTTTTTTCTTACTTTCCAGTATGGCATCGAACTTATCATTGTTGCCTTCTCCAAGCTTAATGAATAACGGAGGATTTTGTCCATCCATCCTGTATATGTATCCCGAAGCCGAGGTTTCGAGGTCTTGAACTTTATTGTGTTTTTGTATATATACTTCTCTAGTTTGTTCGCCGCACACTATTAAAAACACTGCAGCCGCATACACGACCGTTATAACAAGAAAATTCATTTTTAATATAAAACAAGTACACTTGCTTAAATTTTTAAACGATTTTCAATATTGTTTTATAAATAATAATTTAATAACTATAATGTTTTGTTTGTTATTTATTGATTTTCAGAGAAACGATATTACAACAATCCATGTGTTGCTGACGGTGGACCGGGCGAACGTATATAAAGCGATCAACATCCAGCCCTCTCTCCTCTTTTCTGGTTACAAGTTACGGGGGTGGGGTATTTTCTGACAGTCCTTGGAGTTATGACTGACAGCTTAACGGGTACAGATATTAGAGGACCACTGATACGGATGGCCACCGTGTATGTGTGTGGGTGTGGTTAACGGTAGAAAAAAAATTATGTAAACACAATGAGGGTTTTTGTTGTCGTTTCGTAATCCGAAGATTCCATTTGCTATGAACGAATTATATTGGACGGGGACAGTGACAACGAGTCCTTGAATTTGCAACGGTCCAAAAATCCAAACGTTATTGATATTATATTGAACTATATTTGTTATGTGTTATACACATAATAGGAACGTATTATTCGTGTGTTATGTGCATGTGTGTTAACGTATTGTTCGGTTACGGATTTGATTTCTAATCATATTTATAAATATCTAACTTCAGTTTGATAATTCAATAAAACATTATCTTGAAAAACAAATATCATGCAGATATTAAACCAATTACATTATTGCAAATAGACAAAAAACAAAAACAAAAATGTTAATAATACATTTTGTAGTCTATAAGACTATAAATTTAGGATTCAGTTAAAGCGTGGGAAACTTATTACATTAATCATGTATGTTTTTTTTTCAAGCTTAATTTATGTTAAATAAAATTATCAATCATGTTTATTGAAAATATATTTTACTATTTCTACGACATCGAGTTAAAAATCAAGGAAATGGCTCTGCAGATAGAAGATTTCGAGTATACCTGACCTCGTCATTGAATAGTTCACTGTAATGGATGTGTCAAATTTTAATTTAAATCGATGTATACGAGAAATGATTCTGTGCGCAGTCGATATGTCAGTTTCTATTTATAAGGATATTTTATACCTGCTATAGTAGGTAATTTATAGTTTTCGATTAGGCATGTTGAATGAACGTTGGCCAAAAACATCGCACGACGTTCAATAACATTTTATTTTTTTATTTTTATTTTGAAAAGATCTGTAATTTTTTTTTCCACTAAAGTAGCAACTAGATCCAGTTGATTATCAGAAATCACTTTCAACATTGAAGTATTTTTACTGCTCAAAAATTCGATGATAAACACATAAAGAAAAATCAAACAAACACATCATCATTTTTGTAAAACCGAAACCTAAAATTTCTGTCGTTTAGTATATATATCGATGGTAAAATATTAAGCGTAGAGCCGTTGAGACAGAATTTTGGTACAATAAAATGGCTTGAGGCCTATATGGAAGCAGAACCTTCGTAGAATATATAAGTATAAAATGGTGGCAAATATCGGACACATTGATTGATATTTATTTATATATTATATATGTATACCACGCATTTTCAATATATAATACGAAACACTCGACGCTATGTATTACACGTCACCTTGCGTATTATTTACCAATTATTTATTACCAATGCCAACACCAGATTAACCAATAAAATAATGGTATCTTTTTCATATATCGAATTGGTTATTATAGGTTATACATTTTCAATACATTTGTAGTATAAATGGTTTTTTTTTCGACTGTTATTCATAATCATTGTGCTATATAGGAATAAAATATTTTATATTATAAATTTAATAATAGGTTCAATTGACTTAATCGTATTATAATCGGATACGCTATACGAGTGAAATATATAATACAACGTTAAACGACTTAATAGCTAACAAATATATCAACGATGTTGCTATTGTAACGTAATTATAGTTATCATTGGTTGATTGAGACAACTAGGCAGGTACTATTAAGGTAAATTATAACGTTATAATATTAATTTCATCTTAGTTATTGTTTAGTTGCCATGGCGCCTGTAGCAGTCAGCAAGAATACGGTCAAAACAAAAAAAAAATGGTTAAAAATAAATTCAGATTTTATAGGTTTTATTTATTTATTTGTTTTGGTTACTCAGGTAACATAATTATACATTATTTATTTTTTGCTTGGGATAACTTAGGTATATAGGCACTTTAATGCGAAATTATAACATTTTATGAAATTAAATTCATCTTTGTTATTGTTCGGCTGGCATAGTACCGTAACTGTTAGAAAAAAATTCCATCAGAAAGTAAATGTATCCAACTATAAATGTAAAAATGTTTGACAAAATTTATAGTATAAATGATTAGAAAAATCATGAAGTTTGAACCATAAACGATTTTTTTTATTAATTACTTTAAATTATCCATATTTTTATGAGTTATGTTACATTGTATAGAACGTTGCTTTAAATTTAAGTAGTTTATTCTAGGAAATAATATTTATTACATTCCCCAAATCTCGATTGTTCATTACATCAGTGTTTTTCAACCTTTTATTACTGTTGCATCTTTCAAGTGAATATTTAATTTTTAGCAACTTATAAATATATATATATATATATACCATAGAGATATACGTATAGACAAATATTAAAAATAAGTACTAATAATACGATAATAAAATTATGAAATAAAAGTACAAATATTGCAGTTTTTAATAGTTGAACCTCGTTTATTTGTTTTACCTATGAGTAAAAAATTTTCAAATATTAATAATTATTCTTAAGCTAACATTCTTAATGGATAAGTTGTTATTACAATTGATGATTTGGAATGATTTAATCTATACATGTTAAATACATTTTGCTTAACTAGTTCTCATATAGTTGTTGAATTTAGATATATAATATATATAAGATTGTTATGATATATTTATTTATTATTGAGGTTTATTATTTTTTTTATTTATTTAAATGGTTAGTTGATGACTTTCAGGCTTAGAAAAATTAGCTAGATAATTTGTTATATAGGTATACATTTTTCGAAAATAATTGTGTCGTTTGTAAATTAAATAATAGTTAAGATTTATCTTATTCAAGTATTAAGTTTATAAATCATATTATGATATGAATTTATTTTAAATGTCGTATGGCTTCTTTAATTGGACAGACTCGATAAATATATTGGAAGGATAAATTAAAATTATTTAATACGTAGTAATAATTTCATAATAAACGGTTACTAATGAACATTAAAAGTTTTTATACATAACGTAATTTATTATATTAGTAATTATTTAAAATTAATGTTATTTGTTTAATACGTCACTTTCGATTTGTCTTTTGAAATTGAAGTTTATGAAATTTTTTATTTAGTCAAAAAAAAATTTAAAAAAAAAAGAAAAAGTTATTGTTTTAAATCCAATAAACGATTCTTAATTAATATTATATTGTATATTAATATCAGAATACTAGTTTAATTTTCAAACTAATTGGTAAAATTGAACATTATTTTTGAAAAAATATTAAATTTTAAGTTCATGCTGATAGTATTTTATATATTATGATTATCCGCATTTGCATTTTTTTTATAACAAGGACACTTATATATAGTAATAAGAGTCAAAAGCTCGGAACTAACGAGACAAGATAATATTTAATAAGCACATTTTAAAGTGGAACACTAACCTTTCCATTTAATTTTAAAATTAATTTAATGTATGAGCACCTCTATTTATAATTTATCAATGTGATGGTTTTTTGTTTGTTATTGTGATATGACTAAGGCCCGGATTTTTATGCAAATGCATATTCTTCTACATTTGACTTAAATTAATTCTGATTAAATATTTTGAAGTTTTGTATACGTTCTGCTAATAATTTTTTTTGCATATTTTTGCATATTTGCATCAAAATGCATAATCATTCCATATTCCTGTATAATTACATAAAATGTGCATATTTTATAAATACTAAATGAAATATTATTTTACTTAAAGTTCGATATATTCGTACCTGTCAATATTTCTGACAAATAAAATTCGATCGAATAAAACAAAATATTTTACTATTGGGAATTCCGCTGACACATGTATTACATTGAATAATAATAAGAGCGTTATATTATAGATATAAGTAAATACCTATATAATATATATAATTTGATTTCTGGGACATAATAATATGGTAAGCATTTTTATTTTTTATACTACGTAGTTAGGTACTGTCTATTGTTCGTCGGTGTAGTGTGTTCACGGCTTTTTTTTTTAATTTAAAAATTTAAAAAAATACCAAAAGCATTATAAATAAAGCACATTATTACGTATCCTCAAATATCCATGTAATTTTAGAACGGACGGAGATGTAATATTTTGTATTATTTTGTATTTGTTTTTTTTTTTTAGAAGTACAAGGATATAGGTACTATGTGACAATTGTAGAAGTTTACAATTTGATAATTTATTTAAAAGTACGTTACATCATGTTGGTACTCATTCAATAATAAAATTAATATAAATTGTTATGCTATAAATACATTTCAATATTAATTTTTTTTTAAATGTTTGGTTTTTTAGCACATAATATAAAATTTTTTTGAATTTTTTTAGTCTATTTTTGAATTTTTGAGTGCATAAATACATGCATATTTAACAATAATTTTTACATAAAAATCCGGGCTCTAGTTATGATAAAAAACATATTTTATGTATCGGTAGTCTTAAACAATGTTTAATTTATTAAAATAAACTAATATTTGAAAAAATACAATTAAAAATAACTTTGTAGCAGAGTTTGATGACACAAGTTTAATTGTGCTTTAAAATATAATGATTATAAAATGTAAATAGGGAATCTACAGAATTTAATTAAATCATTATTATAAAGCTTATTCATCAAACAAATTTAAACGTTTTTTAATTAATATTATGCAAGTATCATCTATAAGGTTATGAAAAAAATAAAATCTTTAGTATATAAGTGTATTATCTGAATATCCTGCGGAAATCATAAAAATTAATAACTATATGTTCATATAATACTGAACTTAGTCATGGCGTGAAATTGAGAGGTTAAATTATAAATAAATAATAGATAATTGAAAATAA